TCAATCATGTAATTTTAGAGGCGTCAAGGAGAAGAGAATATGAGATTAATGGGTATCCTTGTCATAGGAGGGGATTTCCTCCTATGACGCCTCTAAAATCAAATGATTGAGCGACATTATGGATGATCTACTCCGTTGAACTTGATCTACATATTCTAAAACCCCAACACACTAAGTTTGGGGTGAATCCGTCGTTGTTTTGACCCTTCATCCACTCGTATCAATTTTAACGGTTTTGAATGAATAGAACTTTTCACATGGCTCGATGGAGGGTCAAACGACGACGGATTTAAAATTTGAAATTTAGTTGGGTGATTTGAGGGATTGTTGTTTTGTTTCTATTTTTTATTGCACGTTGTGTGCACGTAGTTTTTCTTTATAAATAAGGTTGTATGAGACCATTAAAAGACAATGAATTATTGAATGAAGAAATATTTGTTAGCTAAATTCTAGTATGAAGCATTGGGTGTGAAACCCTAGGCCAAATTGTTCTCCTCTGTCATAAACAGCCGACATACCTTCTTTTTTCTTATACACAGCCGCCAAATTTCTTCTCTCCTCCATGTTAACAATTTCCAAACCCAGCTCCCAACTCCTCTTCATTCCTCTTAACCAGCCATCGCTCCTACTCCGAGCAGTCCCCGGAATCCCTACTCTCTACTCCCAAGCATCTCAACGTCGTCGTCGACCTCATCCCGACACCTATCACCAGTCTGGACCCGATAGACCACCCGCGTCCTCACCGCTTTCATCATCTACCATCTCGACGCCGTCGATCGCGTCATTGTTCAGTTCGACGCCACCGTCGTCATCATCTTGATGCCATCGCCTGCGCTGTCATCTAGTCGACGTCGTCGTCCTCATCGTCGTCGTCAGTTCACACGTCGTAGTAATCGCTCAGTCAACGTCGTTTGTCATCGCCAGTTCACCCATCGACCCGTCGACCCGTCGGCACTTGATAGCCCAGTTCGACGTCGTCGCACACGTCATCATCCAGTTCGTCGAC